GAGAAAGAGAAAAAACATGCTCATGCCAGAAGAAATACGTGAGTCATGATTTATATTAAATTTCCCACCACCCATACCTTGGAGAATGCAGTGATCCTCAAAATGACGAACAGATTATTTCTTATACACCCTTTCGGGAACGTCACTTTCTAAAATCCCATGCATTATGAACTCCCACCCTTTCCCCTAAGTACATGAGATCATATGTCACTCTTCCAAATAAAAGGCAAAGGATACAGAGGCCCATAGCCTGCACATGAAAAGTTTGCTTAAGGAAAGATTTTCAAGTTGCTATACTTTATAATGTGGTTACTTATATACTAGCATTCAGTTCCCTAGTAAGGAGCCCCCGATGGCGCTGTGGGTTAAAGCGCTGAGATGCTGAACTTGCAGATCGAAAGGCTGCAGGTTCAAATCCAGGGAGCGGCGTGAGCTCCCACTGTTAGCCCCAGCATCTTCCAGCCTAGCAGTTCAAAAACATGCAAATGTTAGTAGATCAATAGGTACCACTCTGATGGGAAGGTAACAGCATTCCATGCAGTCATGCCGGCCACATGACCTTGGAGGTGTCTATGGGCAATGCTGGCTCTTCGGCTTAGAAATGGAGATGAGCACCAACCCCCATAGTCGGACACGACTGGACTTAATGTCAGGGGTAAATCTTTACTTTTACCTTTTTCCCTAGTAACTACCAGTACAACCTCAAATTTGTCAAAGCTTACTGCCCTTCACCAGAGCACAACCTCCATGTCTAAAATATTAGCTACCATGCTCAGGTTCATGGGGCTGGTTGCCTGAAAGTGCTAGTCTGAAATGAATTCCCTGTAAAATTCATTTTACAAGTACTGTAGATGGCTCTTTATCACACTAGGAGCAGGGGCCATGCTGCCAGCTAGAATTATAAATAGTTCTGGCTCACAACATGGCATCTGTTTCCTGCACACTATTTGCATTGAACATTGTATTCTTATGCTGATCAATATTTGTGTGTCAGGGCAAGGGGTGCCAACAGAGCTAGGCAGAGCATGTTATAGTCCATCTAATGCAGTGGTTCTCAACCTGTGGGTCCCCAGATGTTTTGGCCTTCAACTCCCAGAAATCCCTACAGCTGGTAAACTGGCTGGGATTTCTGGGAGTTGTAGCCAAAACACCTGGGGACCCACAGTGAGAACCACTGATCTAATGCATTTCCCTAGAAGAGTCAAGACAAAGCAAAGTATATGTGCTTTTCAGTGTTCAACATAAGATTAAATAGAATTTATTATTATGGAACAGGGAAACTGGATTCTTGAAAATAAAACCATAAAGTTGGAAAAGACCTCAAGGACCATCTAATCTAACCCTTTCCATGCAGGATCAGACAACCAAGCCACCCGTGAAAGATTCCCATCCATCCTCTGTTTAAAGACCTCCAAAGAAGGAGAACCCCCCATAAAGTGATTTGAAGTTTAAAAGTCCATTTCTTGTTATTTTAACCCAATGATATGTGTTCTAATCTCAGGAGCAGGTGAAAACTAGCGTACTCCATCTTCCACATGACATCAGTTCAGATATTTAAAGATGACTGTCATGTCACCTCTCAGTTTTCTCCTATCCATGTTAAATATACCAATCTCTCTAAGTTGTGTTCTTAATTAGCTTTGTTCTCCAGACCTCTGATTATCTTGCAACCTCGTCACGTGAGCCAGGCAAAGCATTTCACTTTATCTGACTTCGCCAAAGAAATAGAGGGGCATCAGGGCGAATCTGTCACCTTGCATGCCACTCCCTCACAGCAATGCTTCCCCATCACAAGTGGGAAGTGTAACCCAAGCAACAAGGATCGATGCTGGCTCCAATACAGCACAACATGGGCAGGCTCCTGTGTTGGAAGGGAAGCGTCATACATCCTTCCACTCCAATTGTGGGCTGGGCCTCTGCCAAAAATCCACTGATGTCGTGAGCTGAGCAGCATGCTCATCCATCGCTTGAATTCCCAAGCCCTATCTAATTAAGTTGTTGATCACTGTTCTCTAGACATATCTAGCATGCCAACCTCCCTTTGTTATTTAGCACATGTAAAAATTACCCACATTTCTGGATAGTTCGATGCATAATGGAGATAAGTCAAAAGATATAGTAATAGGTACCTCTAATAGATCTTTTAAGTTGCATGTTATTCGGTAGGGAAAGTATGAGGGTTGAATGAAAAGTAATGCCTCCACGTTCGTTACTTGGGTTTGGATGGGAATATTTTAATAAATCAAACACAGAAATAATCCTTAGAATGTGCTCTTTAACTACCACTATTCAGCTTTCCACATAATCACCAGACAATTGGATACATATCTGCCAATGATGAACAAGTTTTCTGAAGCCGTCACAGAAGAAGTCAACACTCTGTTTCCACAACCAGCGTTTCACAGTGCTCTCATCCTGGATACCCATCGTGCACAGACCTTCCAATAGCCAAGCAAAGCAATAATGCGACCCACACACTCAGATGAAATGCCAATTATGCTTGAAATTTCTCTCTGAGTGATACGATGATCGTCCTGAATCAATCTGTCAACCTTTTGCTTGTGAAACTCAGTGGTTGCTGTCATAGGACAGCCAACTCTTTGTTTGTCACGCAAGTCAGATGTTCCTACCTCAACATCTTTAAACTTAATAATAAATAAATCGAACCAGCAAAGAAATCCATGCCAAGGAAGCTTGTTCCTTCAGTTCCAAAATAGTTAGGAATGGGTTTCTACAAAAGGACAGTCAGACTTCTGTGCTGCTTCTTAGGACTTCATCACATTAGAGCATGAATCCACTTTAAATCCAATTTCTGCCTCTAGCAGAATTCTGGGGTTTGTAGTTTAGTGAGGCCCAGGACCACTCTGGCTGAGCAGTTCAAACCCCACCTCTTCTGAGGTGAACTGAACCACCTAAACTGGGCTCTACAGATTAATGCATACTCCACCACAGACAACAGAAAAGCTGCAAGACTAAGAACAAGCCACAAGAGTAAACACAAAGATCCACCTAGAGGAAAAGTGTTCTTGCCATACATCAAGGGAACCACTGACCACACAGGGAAGCTGATGAAGAAACACAAACTGTCTACAGACCCACTAAGAAAATCCAACAAATGCTACATTCAGCAAAGGACAAGAAGGATCCACTCACCTCTGCAGGAGTCTACCGTATACCATGCAACTGTGGACAAGTCTGCATAGAGACCACCAAACACAGCTTTGCCCAAACATGAATCAAGAAACATGAAAGGTCAACAATAGCAGAGCACCTGATGAACCAACCTGGGCACAGCATATTATTTGAGAACACAGAAATGCTGTACCACTCTAACAACTATCATGTCAGACTACACAAAGAAGCCATTGAAATCCATAAGCAGTGGACAATTTCAACAGAAAGGAGGAAAGCACGAAAATGAACAAAATCTGGCTACAAGTATTAAAAAACTCTGAAATCAAAACATTAAATAAAGATCAATGCTAAAAACCAGGGGAATTCCAGACAAGAAACAATCAGGGCCAGCTAATCACCTCCTAACAAAGGATTCCCCCAGGCAAGAAGCAGCCAGACCTTGAAACTGCAAGGCCATTAAATGCTAATCAAAGATGGCCAATTGCAACATTCATACCTGCCTCAAGCAGACAAGTTCTTTCTCCCACCCTGGGCATTCCACAGATATATAAAAGCCACTTTCCTAGTTTCCAACAGATCTCACAGCCTCTGAGGATGCCTGCCATAGATGCAGGCAAATTGTCAGGAGAAAATGCTTCTGGAACATGGTCATACAGCCCGGAAAACTGACAGCAAGCCGGTTTAAATGTTGCTCCCTAAACGACAAACCCCAGAATTCTTCAAGAGGCAGAAACTGGATTTAAGGTATACAGATCCTGTTTTAGAAACTGGAGATTGAGATAGAATTCCCATTTTGTGTTACCTAGAGCAATATGTATATCTCTGCACTAAATACTATAATGGTGTGTGCACACATGTACCCATATGCATAGATGTGGATACAGATACATATTTGCAGTCCCAAACATTCAGAAATCCCTGGACTGTTTTGGTATTGATATAATCCTTGGTTTTTGGTTACTGTATTTTCAAGTGGGCTGGAATAATATGCTCAGATATCACAAAGCAATTAGAAAGTCAAATCATCCTGAGTTATGTTTCACTGTCATTTCCATTACATTACAATTGGCTAGCGGTCAGCTGCTGGCATTACACAACTGGCTTGTATAATAAAACAGGAGTGGATCTCTTTATTTGTACTCTGGGACTGTAGCACATGCAGCTGAACAGAAGAAGAAAACAAAGGTCCTTCCCGACAATCCTTCTCCACGATTCCTGCTTGCATGCAGAGACAGATACTGTCATTTCCAAAACAGTGCCTCTTACCTCTTTACCAATATACATTTTAGGGAAAAAATTTTTTGCTTTAGTTGGCATAATCCCTGGAAGATCAGCTCTTGAAAATGCAGAAGATTAATCATCCCATCTTCCTAGGATTAAAGTGATGTGAAGAATCTAAATCCTGAGAGCTTGTTTTTCAAGGAACTAACAGAGATAATGCACATGCATAAATCCTATGATTCAGCAAGAAAATTTTAGAGGAAGAAAAAGAAGAAAAAATCTTTTTATTCTGGAGTGGATGTTACTCAACTGCATTAAAATGATGGATTATTACTGTGGCATAGAAAGCAGCGAGCAAGATACTGAGAAAATGAAGTGGAGGCATATTAGTGTACCAGATAAATAAACCCTTACTACCTGTGGAAGAGGGCAATGGATGTTGTGACTCACTGAAGCTGCATGTAATCTATTTAGGTATGCCTCGTTCATCTAAAGTAAGGGGAGTTATATTGTATTTGCATATGTAATTTGCATGAAAAACTTCACTACTGGTCGATAATTGTGAATGATTGTATGAATTATATTAAGAGTTTCCATATCATTTTTTAAACCATTCTTCCTTTCTCTTCCCTCCTAAAACTTAGTTTACAAGATGCTGGAATTGGATTTATCCTGGTCATAGACCGCAGGCAAGATAAATGGAGTTCTGTACAAGCTTCTGTTCTACGGATTGCGGTGAGATCTTAAGCAATTAAGAGTTATGAGTCCTTTGAGATACATAGCATTAACAAGCACGTTTTTCTGTTGGTTGGTTGTTGTTGTTATGTTCCTGTTACCATTTTTTTTGTCAAGAACCTTATATAATAACTGCTTCTAATTTTAACAACAGTACACATTGTGTGCAGTGGATTTAAGTGTTACATATGGCATGGCTACAGAAGCAGAAATAATATGCAAGATGATAACGATGACATGCTTTAAAACAACTGAAGTTTGCAAAAGCTGTTATTCTAAAGCATTTTAGACACTTAAACTTCAGATAGTCTCAGGTAAAATTAGCTAATTTATGGAGGTGGGGAAGTTTTTTTCACATAAACACTTGAAACTGACAATATGTGAGAAATTAGTACATTGGGTTGTTGTAGGTTTTTTGGGCTGTATGGCCATGTTCTAGAAGCATTCTCTTCTGACGTTTCGCCTGCATCTGTGGCAGGCATCCCCATAGAGATGTTCAGTGTATTGTCGAAGGCTTTCATGGCCAGAATCACTGGGTTGTTGTAGGTTTTCAGGCTGTATGGCCATGTTCTAGAAGCATTCTCTCCTGTCGTTTCACCTGCATCTGTGGCAGGCATTCCCATAGAGATGTTCAATGTATTATCGAAGGCTTTCATGGCCGGAATCACTGGTGATTCTAGCCATGAAAGCCTTCGACAATTAGTACATTTTTATTAAAACACAAGTGATACTTTATGGGAATTCAGTGTTTATGTTTATGTGCTTATGGCAGTATTTTTTATGATTTGTCTACCTTCTAATTTATACTGAGTTGTATATTACAGTAACAGAGCCACCATATATTATGACAAAATTATTAAGCTAGAAGCTTTATTTAGATATATGTATCAGTGTGAAAAAAATACTTCATTTTTCCACAGTGGTTTCTGCTAGTTTCTTGTTTTCTCCTTGGCTAGCCTTGAGGGTCTTTCTTTATTAGACTATTTCATCCCAATTATAGATGTACAACAAGCTATTTACATTGAGTATCTTTGTTTGACTTTTTATAAATTATTCCTAAAAGGAAAAACTAATGTAAATAAAAGATAGGGTCATTTGTCATTTTGATAAGGCGGAGATAATTCCTGGAAGTTTCCCGAGTGTTCCAACAAGCTAGGGTTTTTTATTAAGAAAAATAAATAAATAAATTATTAGTTCTGATGTATGTGTTAATTTGGTTTGGTTTTTGGTACTTGCTAGCTATTCAGTTTATGACAACTTTAATGTTTCACTGTGCCTTTGATTAAGCAGTTTACCAGATAACTTTGGCCCCCCGACCATAACTCAGTGCCTTGCCCTTTACTACTACTCCTTGTCCTATAGACATAATGTTCTATTTCATATTGCCCTCCTAGTCCTAACTTATCACCTGACTCCTGCACTTTATCCATCAGCACTGTCTTTGCAACTGAATTGTACCAGGCTGCTTGTAGAGCTCTGTATTGTTTACCATGTCAGGCTATTGGTTGTTTGTTTGATGGTTGTTTTATGCTGTTGTTGTTTTATGATATTGTTTTATAAATTTTATTGTGTTATAGTTTTAAGTATGTTTGATCAGGCTTGTCCCCATCTTCGGGGAGATGGTGGCGGGATACAAAAATTGAAAACAATATTATTATTACTATTATTGTTATTGTTGTTATTATTAGGTTGGGTTTTTTGTTTTATTTTGGTGTTTTTTGTTTTGTTTTTTGGTTTGTTTGTTGGTTGGTTTACAAAATAGTTGGAGTCAGGACTTAATAATTGAGTAACCTTGGGGGGGTTTTTTTAGGAAACTTTAAGAAACAAAATATACTACAAATAACTCTTCGTTTTTCTATATTCAGGGTGTTTTTGTTTATTTGCTATCATGACACAGTCAAGCAAAATTGTACCATTACTCTTATTTTTTACCTAATAGCAATGGGAGGAGTGATTTGTATTATTTAGATTATTGCTAGAGGTTAAGGGCATCAAAACCGATGGGGTTTTTTTCTTTTTTTGGTTGGTTGTTTTGCAATACCAGATTGAGCCATTGTATTTCAAATCTTCCTTTACTGGTTTACACTATCAGTTTAAATTCTGCTAGCAGGAAGCACAGGTGTTTTTTTTTTGGGGGGGGGGGGTGCCATTGTGGGAGTTAGAGCAGTCAGAGGACATGTGGGCAGTCTAGCCCTAACTTGACTTTGCTGTGTTTAATTTCCTTCCACAAACCCATCAGCAACACCAGCTGGTCTCCTATGGCAAACTTCAGTGGAACTAAGCAATAGTTCTTTTTTCCATTCTCTCTATAACAATATTGTAATTGCAGGGGTAGCAACAAGCTAGCCCCTCTTACAGCCTAGCCGAGATGGACCAATACTCAAGTCAAGCCATAGTTGGCCTTCACCTGCCTGCCTTCCACATCTTAACTCATTGGTCTACCTCCAGAGGTACTATTGCTTACATCTGTAGTTCTCAACCTGTGAGTCCCCAAATGATTTGGCCTTCAGCTCCCAAAAATCCTAACAGCTGATAAACTGGCTGGGGTTTCTCGGAGTTGTAGGCGAAAACACCTGAGGACCTACAGGTTGAGAATCACTGTCCTATATCTTGCCTGACCATTGGCTGTCTAGGTTGGCACTACTGCAAATTTAAGAACAGATACATTTGGAGGGCCACAGATTCTCCAACCTGCCTTTACTCCTGTATCCAGGCTATGCAACTGATTCAGTCAGCACTCACAACTCACAGCCCTGCAGGAAACTGAACCTTTCCAAATGATTGCACACTTTAGCTCTTACAAATGGTGTAAGTTGTAGCTAATGAAGCTGTGACAAATATAAATCACTTACAGTGTAGTTGCCCAATCCATAGGTACATGAGGCTTCATTTTAAGGGCTTCTAAAGGTGCCCACACCAGTTTGGGGGTAGGAAGTACAAAGCTTTGTGTGTTTTTTGTTTTTTGGAAGTTGCTTTGTTATGCCTCCCAAATGGAATAAAAATTGACTGTTACTCACCACTTTGCTATGTTTGGTGGTCTTTTCATCTGTTCCCATCTGTTTTAGGGCCTAAATAGGACATGACTGTCCATCTTTGGAAAAAAGGTCCATGCAAGTCTGAAACAGGAGGGGCAGCAGGAAACGTCCCCAAACACAATAGCCATTAGAAGCACAAGAAGCTTTTGGGGGTGGTATTGGTTATTAGGGGTAAAACAAAAATAGTGATATTCTAAAAGAACTGAGGGAGCAAAAATGAAGATTGCAGACTTCAGGGAATCAAAAGGAAGTCCAATGCAGCCTTTCAAACCATGGTGGTTGCCCAGTCCAGAACTGCAGTCTCATTCTTATTCTTTTCTATCTATGTTACCGAGCTCCACACTGGGCATAACCAGTTTGTTAAGCTATCTATAATGAAGAACCAAGATTCCTGCAAGCCATAATTTGAACCATGATGTGTAGATAATTACTGGTTAATGTCAATTGTAGTTTGTCAGACATGAATGTTGTGGAAAACTGTTTCTTTTAAATCAGAAGAAAGAAGAGGAACATAATGCACAAGAGGGAAAGGGAATGTGGGGCTGTAGACATATTCTGATCTCCAGGCCACATGACTAACATATGCCAAACAATGAGTCATAAATCTAATGACATTTGGACAAGTGCAAATCGTTTTGGCTGTGTTCATTTAAGTACTGCATCAAAACCAAGAATGCAATGTTATTGAGCCAGCGCGGTAGTGGTTTGAGCGTTGGACTATGACTCTGGAGACCAGGATTTAAATCGCTGCTCAGCCATGAAAACTCACTTGCTGAATTTGGACAACTCACATTATCTCACACTCAGAGGAAGGCAAAAACAAACCCTCTCTGAATTTTTTTTCAGAAGTCGGAAGCCACTTGTAGGCACACAGTGACAACAGCAATGCTATAGAAATGTTTTTTATTTGCATCTCACATAACAGATCTTTAGATAAGAGCAGTATAGCCTGTAAAGTGGAGGTCACTTGAGGATGGAAGGAAGAAAAGAGGGGACTGGGTGTGTTTGGCATATATAAAAGGAAGCAGCATGATCTCATATAAATATTTTAGTGGCCCTAATATCATCCTGGCTGCAGTATTTGACATAGTACTGAGTCTTTCTGTAGTCTGGCATAATTAAAGAGAAAGAGATATCTTTTATATTTTTGGAGACCATGAATAAACTTTTAAAATCTAGAATCCAAATGATATGCCTCTAAAATAGTTACTAGTCCCAAGTCTTTGCAACAAGGCTGAAAACCTGTACCTGGAAATTTTATTTTATTTTGGATTCAGTAAGCATGCCATGCTTTTCTTCACTGGCAATACAAACTCATCTGCCCAGATATATGTTTTGTGAGTATTTTTTCAATTTTCTTCTTGGAAAATGGGAGTCACATATTTGGAGCTCACATTGAATTCTTATCTTGTTTTCAATTTCTTGGGCAAATAAATTTCGTGCAATCTTGAGATTTAGAAGAGAGCTAGCAAAATATAGTGGTTGGAGCATTAGACTGTTACTCTGGAGATCAGGGTTCAAATCCCCATCCAGCCATAGAAATCTATAGGGTGATCTTGGTCTGAAACAGGAGGGGCAACAGGAAACGTCCCCAAACACAATAATAGCCATTAGAAGCACAAGAAGCTTTTGGGGGTGGTATTGGAAGACGAAGGCAAAGGTGGTTCCCCCTAGACTTTCTTATATTTATTTATGTACCCACAGACCCAAAAAAGTTTATTTTTTCTTCAATTTTCTCAGTTCGGCTATTTCTATTTGTAATGGCAACTTTACTGTTTAGTAGCCTTTACAATGTAGTATGCTGTAATAAAATACAAAATTCATTAAAAATACAGAATTAGCTTAATATACCTAAAAGCAGATAACCAAATGTGTTTACAATTTCTAAAAGTTCCCTGTTAGTACTAAAGGGACACCACCTCAAATTAAAAACAGGTACAGGTTGCTTTAAAAAGCAAGGGTCCATTCTGTTTACCAAGCTAAATATTTTGGTGCCTCTGCATGAGTTTTCTAGCAATCAGAGCAAATGTAATAATGTGCATAGTAATGGAAATTTTGTTGCCAGGTGAGTGAACAGCATTCTATTCTATTCACCCTCACATCATCGTCTGCGTCAATAGTGGGAAGCCATCTGTTCTTTTATTATCTTTAGTAATACATATATTAGTGGTGTTATACAGCAAAGTTCTTATTTAGCATGTAGTGAACCAAGGTAGTGACCCAAATATTAAATAAATAGTAGAAATAGTTACTTAATAGTTTAAAATCCAGCTTTGTTTCTTTTTTAAATATTAGATTTTCTCTAGAAATCCAGCTTTCTATTAATCATGTAAACATTTTGTCATACTTGATCTCATTGAATGTTATGTTACAATTCATATTTATCTCACAGATCCTAGTTTCTTCTGACTTCCAGTGCAAATGAGGTTGCCAACATATTGATTCATTCCCAGCAAACTGAACTTGATTGATTACCTGTATGTCATGTTATGCAAATCTACCATTCATTATTTATTATTTAGACAATATAAGACACCAAGATTAAAGGCGCTTAGTAATGGTTTGGTGTGATGTGAGGATGGACAATCCGTGGTTTGTGTTCTGCTATGGATCAGTTTCAAAGATCATGGCTTGAACTCAAGTGGGTTTTACAAATCATGGTTTATGCTAACTATGATTTAGATTAATGCAGTCATCTACTGTGTATCTATTTGTTTATGTTTCAAATTATAGTTGGGAGATTTTTATTTATGATCTTGGTAATACATTAAAATTTGAGATGACTTTGACTTCGAATAAAATATGAAGTGTTACAAAAGATTTCAAAGTGTTCAATTAATTTTAATATAATAGTTATATGTAATGTCTTTGACAGGCATCATTTCCAGGAAATCTTCAGTTAGTCTTGGTTTTGCGACCCACGGGATTCTTGCACAGAACTCTCTTTGACATTGCATTCAAATTCCATAAAGATGACTATAAGATGAAGCTACCGGTTAGTATTTCCTGCCTTTTCTTTGCATTTGTGATTTGTGAATTTGTGTAATGGAGTAATAAGAATACTTGAAAAATAAAAAAGTGAAGATGACCTCCTCCTTGATATTTTCCTGTTTGTACAAGAATTGATATTTTTAGATTAATCGGGTAAACTGTGTTGCGCCAACCACCTGTTACCTGGTTTTTAAGAGTGTTATCTCATTAAAGATAAATGGCTTTGTATTTCAATATATTCTGTGTTGCAAAAGAGTGGTAAATGTTTACAGAGTGGTAAAGTGATGTTATAAATGTCACTCATATAGTTGAATCATTACCTTGGCAGGCTCCTGCTTTGTAGTTGGTCAGCTCTTACTGTAAATTTCTCTGATTGGCAAAATTTATATTGACAATCCTTCTTAGTTTATTTACTCGTATATGTCTATATGTGCCTCCAGATCACTTGTTGACCTACAGTGACCCCATGGGTTTCATAGGGTTTTCCTAGGCAAGGAATAGAGATGGTTTTGCCAGTACTTTCTTCTAAAATGCTTGCTACCTAGTACGTATTCATTGGCAGTCCTCAATTGAGGTATTTACTCACAATGCAACTCAACTATGCTTTCAAATAGATATGGATATGAAAATCTAACCATACTTACAGATAGATAAGGACATGGAAATAACTTTAGCATTAAATCAAAGATGTAATTGCAAAATCCTCCAAGATATCTTAAACGAATGCTGAAAAGCTAATAATATCAGGTCCAGGTAGACTTCACAAGAGCAATAAGGTCTACTCCACACAGGAATGTGCTCCTGAGTAAACATATATTGCATTGCACTAGTAGTTCTCGTTATTAAATCTAGTCCAGGGTATACCATTTATATGGTAAGGGTTAATAGAGTAGAATAATGCTATTAACACATATATAACAATGTCTTTGGAGGGTGTGCATCAACATTTTCCCCATTGCCAAAGAATTGTTGTAGATGGCCATTTATACTTTTGTATGCTGTCCTCCAAATTTCACCCTCCCTTAATGCAGTTAAATGCATTAAAACAATAGAAACATAGCAGTGTCTCTAGCGACAGAGTTCCAAGATGGTTATACTATATCCATGAGTTCCCTCTCACAGGCCACAATGTGCTTTGCCCCTGGAGAAATGGAGACCAGCAAATAAACCAGATAGCTGGACTTATTCCAGATTATGTCAATGAGACAGGTTACTGTCATGAGAGGTTGTGTATTGTTTTGTAATAATAGCAAAAAAAAGTGCCACAACACCTTTCCCATCCTCTTTGAGCTGTTAATATAATACAGAAGCCAGTATAGTATAGTGGTTTGAACTTTGGTTTGTGGCTCCGCCATGAAACCTGCTTAATGATTTTGGACAACTCACAGTCTCCCAATCTCAGAAAAATACTCAGAAGAACGCATGTCTCTTCTGAATAAATCTTGACAACAAAACCCTGTGGTAGGTTCACTGTAGAGTCACCATAGATAGGAAATAATTTGAAGGTAATCAACAACAACAGCAACACAAATACGAAGTATTACTTGCATGAGCTTTTAATAAGGTGCCACAATTTCTCTGTACAGAGTTGCTATGCTTCTGATTTTAAGAAATAGTTTGAACATTGCCACCATATACAGAAAAACATGTACTCATCTGGTATGTCATAGTCTGGCTGAAATATAAATTCTGGTTCCAGTAACTGGCAAAACAAAAATCCTGAACAAATTCTAATTGTCCATTTTGTTTTCTTTCTTCTGTGTGGTAGATCATAATGCTGAGCTCACTAGCCGAGTTAAACAGTTACATTGACAGAACACAGCTAACCGAGGATCTTGGTGGCACTCTGGATTACTGCCACGACAGGTGGCTGACCCATCGCACTGTAAGTAGTTCCTGCCCCCTTTGCCCAGCAGCTTGCACCAGTGGGCCTTACTGTTGTACGTCCCATTACTAATGGTATGGGCTCATAAATATAAATGAAAAAGTGCATAAACATCTTGGAGGAATCCCAGCTACCTCATTGCCATCCTGTAGCCAAATATCAGGAATAATGAATTTGGGAGTGATGATTTCAGGGCCAAGAAATCTATAGCATATTGTCAAAAGAGAGTTTTGAGCTTCAACAATATCTCCAGATAAAATGGCACTTAAAATAAATTGTATTTCTAGCTTCCAGTGATTGGAAGCTAGAAATAATGTGCAGTTAAAAATCTAATGCCGGAGGTATTTTTATTTATGCATTTTGATACAACTAAAAGAATGTAATTCATATGTGAAACAGTTCCCATTGATTAGAGGCTGAAAATAATGTATAGTTAGAAATGTAATCCTGGGTGTCAGGCATGTAGCCGAAGGAGGGGGGCTTGAGAGGCTTCAGCCCCCCCCCCCCCCCCGAAATTCTCAGGGTGGTCCGCGAGAAGGTCTTACTGGTACATTATTTAAACTGTCATGTTTATTCATATCATGATCGGATCACCATGCTCAATATATCCCATATGCATAGGGGTATTGGGATAATGATACAAAAGGTTTGCTAGAGGTCAGCTTCCCCCCCCCCCCCCCCCCCCCCCCGGAATCAAAATCCTGGCTACGGGCCTGCTGAGTGTATTTTTGTTTATGAACATTGATACTTACTTTGAATCAGGTGTATAGTCCCTTTATTTATTATTGTAAAGATAAATATGCTTATCTGAGTCTGAGTCTATGTAACATTCTTTTAACCCATAAGGCTATAGAGAGCTTTGCTCGAATGGTGAAGCAGACAGCACAGACGCTTCGCTCTTTTGGAGCTGAACTGGCAGAAACAGAATTGCCAAATGATGTGGAGTCTACCAGGTCCCTCCTTACAGCCCATACTGAAAGCAAAGTCAAAATGAAGGTATGTGATGTATATATAATGGCTTTAGTGGGCACCATGTAAGATCATTTTACTTACAGCTGTCAAAGAAGTTTTAGCTTTTTTGCCACATATATTCTGGACATATTCCTTTTAATTAATCTGTGGAATCCTCCTCCCAGTATCCAATACAATGATTCAACCCACTATCCAGTTCTCCACAGATATCTTGGAAAATAATAATAGCTATGTATATTATATAATATTTTGCTTCCTTTCTCCCCTCCCCCTTATAAGCTATGGTTTGCAGGAATTAAAACAAACTTGCAATTTTTGCAAATTATAGTTTTGCCAGAGAAATTATTATAAAATGGCTTTACTTGTAGCATTGTTAGTTAGTGTCTGGATTATTGAAATGTTAATTATTTTAAATAGCATTGTCAATTATTTAAATTGCAAAAAAACTTTCAACAAATGTGAAACAAAGCTAGAAAAAGTATAGTATCATTATATTAGAATGTGTAATATACACACACTCATCTACATTTGAAGCCGTTGTGTTGAAATGGATATTGTGTTATATAGTGCCTTGTTAAAAGCTTTACACTATTTCTTCAAATACACTTAATGTGGGATGTGTGATCTGCTGGATAATTACTCAAAAGTTACATAATTTATACAATCTTGTAACCTATAGACATTACCTTTTGGAGAATGTGCCCATGTCTGCTTATCCACACACTAGCCCAAATCCCAGTAGTCTTCATTGGAAAGGGCTCGAGCGCCTTCCATTCCCACTATCTCCCCCAGTGAGCCAAGGGAAAAGGTCAGTGGAGATGCAGGGGTCTCTATTTCAGATACCTTTGAAGAGGTTGTACTTGGAAAGAGCATTCTGTATTAGTATCTACCAGTCTTAATACAGATCACTCCAATCCCACTGCTAGCAAGTCTTAGTACCCAAGTCTGGAAACTTGGGTACATGGAAGGCTGAATGTATGCTGTGCCAGGGACTTTTACAATATATGTGTGTTTTGGCTGCAAGTTTTTTCTCCTGGAAACTCTCTTTGAACAAGACTGGTTCACAGACTGGCACCAATCTACAGATTACCATTTTGCTCTAAAGTAATTTTTATGATTTCACATTTTATAGAACTGTGACTTTTTTTAAAAAAAGCTCATCTCTGGTCATCTACTTTTTCTGCAGGAGGATCTAAGGATAGCAGTAGATGAAGGCCATGATATTCTCCATAGTATTAGGAAACCAGTTCTTGAAAACCCAGAGTATAAGCTGAATCCAGATCAAGTGGAAAACCAAGTCACTGTGGAAAGGTAAGCCAAATCTAGCATTTCACATAAATGCTCATTGGTCTCTGAATTTAATTTCATGAATATATTGCATCCATGTTCCTCTCCAAAATAACATCTAAGTTCGTATTTCACTGCTGCATGCATGTGTTGCACACTCACTCTTCCCTAAAACCATTATAATATCCAATCAGAGTGTAAAGTATTGTGTTTTGATAGCTTTTTACAACTACACAAATAGCCTCACAGCAAGATGAATATTTTGTTAAGGGGAAACAACACAGTTTAACAAAAGACTGTGCAAGTTGTTGCATCCCAAAGGAAGGTTTCAGTACTACTACACTATGAGAACAAGAAACAACCTGGCAATGAGTGGAGATATTGGCTTAATTATTGCAGGGTTGGTTTGTTTTCGGTTCATTCGTTTCAGAGCCTGAAAATTGGACCATTATGGGGAGGAGGGTTCCCACCCACTGCCCCCCCCTTCCTGGCATGAGTTCTTCTTTCCTGACACCTACTGTTTCTACTTTAGAGTAAGAGGCGCTTGATTGTAGGCACTGGTGCTCACTTTCTGGGCCTACCTGCATGCCCTGCCACACACACACTCTCCTTGGAAAGAGAGTGCATGTATGGCGAGGCGTGCAGGCAGGCCCGGAAAGCATACACACCTGCCAGTGCCTGCAGCTGAGTGCCTCTTCTTCTGGAGCAAGGGGTGCTCAGCTGCAGGCTTGTTCATTCGAGAGAGTGTGTATGACAGGGCGTGCAAGCAGGCTTGGAGTGTGCCTGCAACTGAGCTCCAGACCTGCCTGAACACCCCACCACACATGCACTCACTTTACAAGGCAAGGAAGCAAGTTCGGTTGCACACAAAAGCAGCTTTTCATGTCAAGCAGATTTTTGTGTGGGGAGGGCGTTTCCTATTTTGTGCTTCCAAATAAAAGGAAGACACAAAGAAAATGATAGCAGTAACATTCACACACATGTCTATAAATCAGCAGTTGCAACTGAAGGAACTTGTAGCAAAACATTTTGATTCTTAGGGATACAGTATTTCCAGCATGTTTATATTTCCAGTAAACAACACCCATGAACCAGCCATGCATGAGAAGAGAAAAACCTTCTGGAACTACATTTTTTGAAACTTTGACACCATATGACAATATTAAAATAGATGGCAATATCATTCTCACCTCTAGAACCTGTATCTAAATTTATGCCAAGAACCTGGGAATTATATAAGTACAGCTGCAAGTCATTCCAACAAATGCTATGCAGCTAGAAATGTCTCATTCTTTTACTAAATGCCTTTCTTCAGTCGTTTTATTGAATCAAATGTAGTTTTATAGTATCCTTCTGAGGTCCAGGTTCTACATGAAAGCAAGTCCTGTGCATTTGCTTTCAAGCCTCTTATATTTAAACAATTGCCTTAATTCCAATAAAATTACTGATTCTGTTTCACTTACAACAGGGATAAGGATTGTGTGATTCTCCACATGCTTTTAGTCTGCAAATCCTATCAACCCTTGCCAAGACAGGGATGTTAGGAGTTGCAATCCTAGAGCATCTGCAGGGCTACAAGTTCCCCACCTGTTGTTCCAATGTATTTGATGTAGTCATTAACCTTATTTTCCTTTTTTAAAGGCTTCTAGCTCAGCTAGATGAAACAGCAACAGCCTTTGATGAATTTTGGTCTAAACACCAACAGAAACTTGAGCAGTGCTTACAACTTAGACATTTTGAACTGGATTTCAAAGAGGTGATGAATTTTAATGTTAATAAAAATTTAGTGTAGTTAGTGTCAACAAAGGTCAAAGACAGTACACCAGAAATGCTGGACCACACCAACAACCACCATGTCAGACTACACAGAGAAGCCATTGAAATCCACAAGCATNCGCAGCGCCCAAACAAGAATCCAGGAACATGAAAGGCACTGCAGACTACTTCAACCAGAGAAGTCAGCCATATCAGAGAACCTGATGAACCAGCCTGGACACAGAAATGCTGGACCACACCAACAACCACCATGTCAGACTACACAGAGAAGCCATTAAAATCCACAAGCATGTGGACAATTTCAACAGAAAGGAAGAGACCATGAAAATGAACAAAATCTGGCTACCAGTATTAAAAAACTCTAAAATTACAACAGCAAAACAGCAGAGAGGAAACAACCAGGCACATCTTAACACCTCTCAACAAAAGATTTTCCCAGGCTCAGGCAGGCCTTCAAATGCTAATGAAGGTGGTCAGTTGAAACATTCACACCTAGCTCCAGTAGAGAAGAGCTCTTTGCCCCACCCCAGCCATTCCACAGATATATAAACCCATTGTCCTATTTCCAACAGACCTCACTACCTCTGAGGATGCTTGCCATAGATGCAGGCAAAACGTCAGGAGAAATGCCTCTAGAACATGGCCTGGCCCTATAGCCCGAAAACCCCCCACAAGAACCTAATCCCCTGATTCCCCCTCTAGAACCCTGGACTCGGCTGCTATCAAATCTCCATTAGGCTTTAATCGACAGCCGGGAGAGCTGTCCTTTACGCCTGCTCCAGTTTGTTTAGAAAACCCTACTCAAAACTCCCCCTGTCTGATCTTGCTCCGTCCCTTTTTCAGATAGCGAGCTGAATACTGGACACTTAGCAGGCGTTAGCATGGAATGTAAATCTGGGAGGGGGATTCCGCTCATCAGCAGTGAAGGGGATAAAACAGCAGTGGTCTTTATTATTTCTCCATTGGGTTGCATGAGGTCCCCTACCCTTTTGATACCATTTTCCTTCAGTGCCCTAATTAGATTCCTGAATGCCTTGTCCTTATTTTCCAAGGTTTCTAATGGGAAAGGGTCAATTTTGTTTATTTGTAATTTATTTTACCATTTCCCCCAGATTAGCAACATTGATAAGCAGGGGTCAACTTTTTTTTTTTTAAAAAAAGAATTTTATTGAATTATCTATAAGATACAACGAAAGAAGGAGAACATTCAAAAGAGGATAGAACAGTACAAGAAAGAAGAAAGGGAAGAGAAAAAAAAAAAAGTAACAAATGACAAAATGTAAAAAAAATGAAAAAAATTGTGTATATACATAAAAAGGTTGACTTCCATCTCCTCATCAAGTGTTGTGTCTCCA